TATTTTATGGAGTCACAGGCTCCAAGGCTCCAGGATTGACCCCAACTGGACAATCAAAATTGGGGTCCTGGTCCTCACAGAGTGTCTTCTCCTGGCTGGATGCAGCACCAAGGAAATCCAGGAATCCCCATCCTGGGGTATTTAGGAAGTCAGTAGAGAGATATATTAAGAGCTGGGGTGGAAGTTGGTTTTCCTTCTCCTCCTTGCTGTCACAGCTCCCAAAAAAACTTGACCTGTGGGCTTGAAGTGCCCTTGGAAGCTTCTTCTCCCATGCTGATTCCTCAGAATCATGGAATGCTTTGGGTTGGAAAAGACCTTAAAGCTCCTCTTGTTCCATCCTCTGTGGTGGGGACACCTTCCACTATCCAGAGTTGCTCCAAGCCCCATCCAACCTGGCTTTGGACACTTCCAGGGATTCCAGCTTACGTGGACAACCTGTGCCAGGGCCTCACCATCCTCACAGGGAAGAATTTTTTTTTTTCCCAATATCTCATATAAACATTCTCTCTACATCTACCATTAAAAGAAAAACAATTCCAAGATGTTTATTGTTTATTCCCTTTTTATGGAGAGCTGACTCATAGCAAGGCTGGTGGCTGGGAACAGGTTGTTCATGGAATTACACAGGGAATAAAACAAATGGGAGTGAGTAGGAGGAAGATCCAATCCAGATCATCACAGCCCCAGCTCTCTGAGTGTCTCAGCCAGATGGAAATTTCAGAAGGTTTATGGCAAAAAAGTCTTGAAAAATAATAATAATTTACAGCTCCAGTGGTATTGTTCCAGTGTCTTCTCTGGAGAAGGTCTGGGATTTTGGAGATGAGATTTTCAGGGATAGTCCTACTTGGTCAGGTCAAAGCCATGCTGAAGAACACATTAGGAATTAAAAAGTGTAGACAGCTCTTTGCTAGCCCTTGGAATCATGCATGGATTTTCCATGTATTATTGGTATAGATTCCATGACAGCTCTTCTGCAGTAATTCCAGCCCCAGGGAAGCTCAAGGGGCTGTTGGATTCCCCCATTAATGTCCCCAATTACAGGTGTAATCCTTTTTGTGACTTAATCCAGATCCAGCTGGGATTTGGGCAATACAGGAGCCCCAAAGACACCATAAAATCAGGTAACACCCATAACCAGGGTTTTGGGATGGCCCTGGGGCACCATTTCCCTGCCTTGCTTGCAAGAGAGGAAGCCAAAGGGCAAATTCTCAACCCTGGGCTGCCCACACTTGGTTCCTGACCCTGAGTGTCTTTTCCTCGTGGAAATAGACATGGAGAGCACCCAGGAATGGGGAAAGTGTGGGAGATTGGCAGGAGCAGCCACAAGGATCAAGCCCTTCCATGATTTGACATGCAAAGGACTTAAAGCTGTGTGGGATGAGCTCCAAGCTCCTCTTGGTTTCCCTGGAATCTGAGCCCCTGTGAGGGTCTGAGGTGAGGCCAGGTCTGTGTCAGGGGCATGGTGGTGACAGCTCACCTTGGTGTCCTGATTTTGACGAGGTCACAACCAGGCAGGATGCAAAGAATGAGCCTTGAAGGGTCAGCACAGAGAATTCCCTGTGGAGAAGGGATGGAGAAAAGGGAGGAGGGATGGAGGAAGGGAAAAATCACTATTCACTGTCACTGGGTCAAGGAAAGGAGGAACTGGAGCTCTCATCCAGGAGGTGCTCAATGCACACAGTTCCTCTTCTCCCAGGGCCATGTGTCCTTCAAAGTGCTGTCATTCCTGACAAAAGTGGTGCCATACTTGGCCTCTTCCTCCCACAAAAACCCCACCAAAAAATGAAGGATGGGGAGCAAGACCCTGCAATTACTTCAGTGGGTTTTATTTAGGGCTGGAATATCCCTGGGGCTGAGAACCAATTCCATCCTGCAACCTCTGCTGCACTAGGACCAGGTGGGGAATGGTAAAACGGAGGGATAGATGGAATTACCTGGGAATCTTCTGGGATGCCACCTGAGAAGGGATGAGGCAGGTGTGTCACCCTCTGACCACAGGGAAGCTGAGTGGGTAAAAACTTCAGGACATTTCACAGGAAAAGGTCCCATGAAGCCAACCCATGATGTTCCTGTCCTTCCTTATCACTGGGTTTCCTACGTGGATGCTTTTCTGAGGCCATTTTTGAGAAGAACCCAGTATAAGGCTCCCCAAAAAAATGAGCAGATCCCTGTTCCTTGACTTCCAATCTCTGTTCTGCATCCAGGACCATTCAACAGCCAGAACATTCCAGAGGTCAGGCAAACAAAGCCACATTTCCATGGCTCCAACACAGGCGTGCAGGGCAGTGTTCCAGAGCCAAGAGTAAAATCCAGGATCAAGTTCTCATCCTGAAGAATGTGATTCAAATGCCTGCAAGGGCCTGATCTCCAAGGATGAACCTAAACTAGGGAAATAAACAGTTGCTGGGAACATCCCTGGTCTGGAACATCACCCACAACATTTAATTAATTGGTTTAATTGTTGGCACATGCCCTGGTGAGGTTCTAGGATGGACCAACCATCGTTACTCCATGGAATATCTGGAATAAAACAAAGGAAGGATTATTCCCAAGAGACTGATATCCACCCCTTAGCCTCTGTGCTGGAGATGGTCCTGGAAAAGTTGGATTTACTGCCACAGCTGTATCCTATGGCTACTGGGACACCTTTTTTCCAGATTTTCACCCTGACCCAGCCAAGCCTTCCATGCTCCAGTCATGCTGCTTCCATGTGTTGGCCATCCTGGGGCTCCTGAGGAAATGCCAGCCATGGCAGTGTCACACCTCACACCTGCATCACACATCCCCAAGGCCGGGATGGTAACTTCCCAAAAATCTGGTTCAGTGGGCCACTGGCAATCCCCAAAATGGGAATTGACCCATCGTGCACTTTTGTCCTGCATCCCACTTGTCCCTCAAACCACTCCTGCCAGTGGAGCTGTGGTGGACCACTTCCCATGGCCTTGGAGATCCTCTTCTGGCTGTCAGTGAGGAGCAGATTTGAATCCCTGGACTTGGTGATTTCTCTCTGGATCTGTGCCAGCCAGGAGATATTTGTGTTGGCAGTCTTTGGAACTGAAGGAATAAACACTGTTAATCATGGAATAGTTTGAGTTAAAAGGGACCTCAAAGACCCTCTTGTTTCAACCCCCAGCCACAAGCAGGGACACTTTCCACTGTCCCAAGTTGCTCCAAGCCTCATCCAACCTGGCTTTGAACACTTCTAGAGGTGGAGAGCATCATACTGAAGAGCAACACAATTACTTTTCCATTTTTTTTCTCAACAAAACAGTCAAAACTGGTGAAAAGAAGAGGGCAGGATGCTCCCACTGCTGCAGGATGCTGAGCCTTGGCTTCCCAAGCTGACTTCCAGACTCCCCCAGAGAGTCACCCCTGATGCCACGATGAATCAGGCTGGCCAATCCTTATTCTCTGGAACAGGTCCTGCTCTTTGGTCAGTGCCTTGTGACACCTGGCAGCAGTGACACACCTCCTGCAGCATTCCCGAGGCGTGCAGTCCCCGAGCCTGGCACGGTGTCACCTCTTGGGCAAGAGGTGTGGTTTATCCTCTCCACACCCAGGTGTAGACCCATGGGAGAGGAATGGCTGGTGCTCCTGGGGTTATCAGGGCTGATTTCCCCATCCTGTTGATCCAGTTTTACGTCAGCAGAGTCGGTGGTGTCAGAAACCTCCAAAATACCTGTGAATCAAGCAAAAAAAGCTCTCTGCAAGATTTCCCCCAGCTTTTCTTTCCTTGAAAAGGAAGATGTGGTGGGTTTTGGTGTCTCTTTGATCTTCCTGTGGCTGTGCCTTCACTGTGGTCAGTGATTGATCCCGCTGGATACTCTAAATGTCTTGGATGAGCATTTCTTCTGTTTCAGGGAATTTTCCTCATCTCGTTTGGCTCCTGCCAATAAAATCATGTTGACCCTCAATTATTTTTACCCTCACCTCATCCATCTTTCTTCCACATGTTTTTGGACCCTCTGCCTCTTCTGCTTTTCCATCTCCTGAATCCCAGGCTGTGTCAGTGTCTGCTCTCTTTTCCTGCAGGATGGAGAAGGAAAAGCCAACACCTGATTGCCCAAGGGGCTCCTCCTGCTTCACCCTCTCTGCTCCTTGGTGGCTTGGTGATTCATGGAGATGTCTGCTGATGTCCAGCACTAAACATCCTGGTAATTCTTTCCTTGGAAGCACAAGTGGGACAGGCAGTCAGATGGAAGCCCCAGAAGGGATGAAGTTATCAGCTCCAGCTCCACCCCTTTCATGCAGAGAAGCTGTAAAGGCTGAGAATGTTTTTGTCTGACTGGTATTGAGCAGGACTTTGTGCTGGATGCTCCATGGAAAAGGGGACAAAGATATTTTTAACCCTTGCTGGAAGTGTTCAAAGCCAGGTTGGATGGGGCTTGGAGGCAGTCCCTGTCCCTGGCAGGGGGTTGGGATGAGATGTTTTTTAAAGGTCCACTCCTACCCAAACCATTCAATGATTTTATGATTTAAGACTTTGTAGGTAACCAAGTTATGCATTTCCTGTCCCCATGAATACCCAGCTTGGTTTACCCTGACTGTAGATGTTGGGAGTTCTCCAGGTCTAACCCTGGAAATGGACTTGGCATAATCCACCCAGAAAATTCCATTAATTTATGCCACTTGTTCCCATTTTCCTTGGAGAAAAGGAGAATAACCTGGCCACAGATGCGATGATCAGAACAAAACCCCCACCCAGCCACCAGCATCACTGCTGGCCTGACCAGAGACGAATTAAAGGATTAATCCCAATAAATGCTGTGAATTCCCAGAGTGCTTTCACTGCTCCCTGGAATCCCCAGCCCAGCCTGAAGGCAATGCCGAGGTGAGAAAACAACCCACGTGCATTCCTGGCCTCTCATCTAATCCATGATCCCTGCCCACTCTTTCCAAATCATTGGCTTCCTCATCACTCCATCCAAAGGCAGGGGAGATTTATATCCTGTCCCCAGGTGAGGGTGTTTTTCCTGGGCTGCGGAGACGACCTGGAGAAGATGAAGTTCTCCCTCCTTGTGGTGCTGGCTTTGGTCCTGTTTGCAGCTCAAGGTGAGGTTTGCTCCTAGATAAAGTACAGCTGAGTGTTTTAAAGGTAGGAACGCCTCCTATCCAGGGAAAGAGAGCTCCTCAGCTCTTGGAATGGTGCAGGTGAAGGACACGGTGCTCGTTTTGGGGGTTTTTGTCTAGAATCTCAGTCTGGGCGTGTGAAAAGTTTATTTTTTTGACTGGAGGTTTCCCTGCCCTACTGGATTTTTATGGAAACGAGACAGTAAAAAGGAGGCAGTTCCCACTGGTCTGCCTTTGAGAGGCTTTCCAGGGTGTTTTTCTGCCGGGGTGGTGCAAGGCTGTGGTTATTCCTAAATTTTGATGAAGATAGCACAATGTGTTCCTGGTCCACGAGGGCCACACCTCCAACATCTGGCCCTGTGCAGATGTTTCTACCCATCTCCAAAATCCCACAGCTTGCTGACTTCAGAGATTTTGGGACAAATTCAGGAAATTAGGGAGAATTTGGGATGTGGGCTGAATGGGTTAATGAAGGAGGGTATTTGCATAGTGACTGTGTTATAGATGGTGCATTTTATTTCATGGAGAAATGGTAAATTAAATCAGAGCCTTTTTAAAGGAATATGATCTTATATCCTCTATAGACCAGAGAGAATAAACCTTATCCTCATTTTGGAGAGCAGGACAGGCTTTGCCAGTGCTTGGAATTGTGCCACACGTCTGGTGCAAAAAAAAGAATTCCTCAGAATAGTTATTTCTGGCTCATTGTGGCCTAAGAATACCTTTCTGCTATTTAGCTTTGTTCACTCACCAGAACAGTGATCCTGACAGATTTCCAAGTGTTAACAAGGCCCGGGAGACAGGGAGGTTGTCCTCAGTGCCAAAATGAAGCCTGGCCTAATCCACGTTGGATTATCCAGGCAGTAAAAATTAAACATTCACTGCATGTGTCTTAGGGCTGAATTCTCACAGCAAAGAGTAAAAAAAAAATTCCTTCTCCTCATCTTCTTTGTCCTTTAAACCTGGTTCTGGATTTCTTTTTGGGGGCACTGATGTCCCATCCAAAGACAAAGGCGTGGGAACCTGAATTTTTAAGCCCTGGAGGTCCCAATTAACCCTCTTCATCTGCCAGTGCTTTCTGCTTAATTAGGCTGCAGTTTAATAGTCCCAGCAAGCAGAAAAAGTGACCCCAGGCGCCTTGGGACATCCTTGGAAACTCCTCCAGGAGTCCCTGCCCTTCCTTGCTCCAGGTATCACATCAAACTTGGTGCCCTCAGCCTATCAGATGGAAGGAGGGCAAATTTAGGTTGGAAATATGGAAAAAATTCCTCCCTGTGAGGGTGGTGAGGCCCTGGCACAGGGTGCCCAGAGAAGCTGTGGCTGCCCCATCCCTGGAAGTGTCCAGGGCCAGGCTGGATGTGGCATTGAAAGAGTGGATTGGCTCTGTCAGCTCCATGGCTTTTATCAGACCTGCACCTCGTGGATTTGAGATTCCATGAAAAGTAGGGAATGATTTTTGTTGCTGGCATTGCACAGAATCCCAGAATCATTTAGGTTGGAAAAGACCTCCAAGATCCTCAAGTCCAACCTTTGATCACCACCAGGGCTCTGAGTGCCACATCCAGGCATTCCTTGGACACGTCCAGGGATGGGGACTCCATTCCACCTCCCTGGGCAGCCCCTTCTGATGCCTGACCACCCTTTCCATGAAGAAATTCCTCCTGAGGTCCAACCTGAAACTCCCCTGGCGCAGTTTGAGGCTGTTTCCTCTTGTCCTCTCACTTGTTCCCTGGGAGCAGAGCCTCATCCACCCCTGGCTGTCCCCTCTTTTCAGGGAGTTTTGGAGAGCCAGAAGGTCCCCCCTGAGCCTCCTTTTCTCCAGGCTGAGCCCCCTTCCCAACTCCCTCAGCCATTCCTGGTGTTCCACACCCTCCCCCAGCTCCATTCCCTTCCCTGGACATGCTCCAGCCCTTCAGTGGAGGGACAAAACCGGACACGGGATTTGAGACGTGGCCTCAGCACAGAGGGACAATCCCTGCCCTGGTCCTGCTGGCCTCACTATGGCTGGCACAAGCCAGGATGGTTCCATCTCCCTCTTCCCAGTTTTGTGTCTATTCCTGCAGCAAATGCCCTGTACTGCTACACCTGCAACTGGGAACAAAGCAACTGGAGCTGCCTGAAGGCTGAGAAGTGCTCGGACAAGGACGAGTACTGTGTCACCAACGTGGCCTCGGTAGGAATCGGTAGGTGCCGGCTCTGGGTCCCCTCGTGGGGACTCAGGAACGGGATCTGAGGTCTGGGCTGGATTTGTGATGGGTTGAGGAGCCCTTGGGAAGCACAAGTGGGAGCTGGAGCCCTTCCCTAACCCAGCGTGGCAGTGCTGAAGGTTTGGAATTCTCCTCCCCATCACACACCGAGATCTTCCTCTTCAGCTGTTGTTTTATTCCTGCATTGAAAATCAGGGGACATTGGGAGGAGAAGAAGGATCCTTCAGAGGGAGAATAAATAAATTTGAACCTTCTTTGCTCTCTGAGAGCAGAGCCCAAGCCCAGCCTGGTTGCACTCTCATGGAGTTGTGCAGAGCCAGAAGGTCCCCCCCGAGCCTCCTTTTCTCCAGGATGAGCCCCTTCCCCAGCTCCCTCAGCCTCTCCTGGTGCTCCAGACCCTTCCCCAGCTCCATTCCCTTCTCTGGACACACTCCAGCCCCTCAATTTCTTTGTTGCTGTGAGGGTCCGAAAACTGATCTCAAGATTTGAAGTGTGGCCACACCAGTGACAAGAAAGGGGAAAAATCACTTCCCTGGTCCTGCTGGTCCCACTACTTCTGATCCAAGGCAGATAGAGAGGAAACAGAATTATTTCCCTCAAACAGAGAAGCCTGGAAATGTGATTTAAATCCAGGAATGAACGTTGTCATTGTACACCTAAAACAATCTTGAGAATGCATGCTGGGAAGTGCTGGATGCCCAGCATGGATATGGAATTCCTTGTGTAGGAGGTCACCAGCAATTCCTGGGCTGTGGTGGGACCAGGATGGGTCTCATGCTGATCTCTGGGGCTGTGGGGGGACAATGGCACTCATCTGCATCCTGCACAAGGATGGCTCAACAAACCCCGTTGCTAATCCCACTCTTTTCCTTCTCTGGGCCAGGCTTTTTGTCCCTTTGGAAGAGGATCACCAAGAAGTGCTCCAGCACCTGCCCACACCACAATTTCCTCCTGGGCCTGGCCACCTACACCTCCTACTGCTGCCAAAGCTTCCTGTGCAACCTGAGTGCGTGCCCAGGGCCACGGCTGGCTCGCCCATGAGGTGCCAGGGAGTCCCATTCCATGTCCTTCTCCAGCTGCCCAGTGCTGCTGGGAGAAAATGGATCCTGAAGGACTGAAGAGCTTGGCCAGATTCCCCCAGGAGGGTGTGGACATCAAACAAGAGGAACAGATAAAGTATTGTTGTCATCTTCTTGTCCTGTGGTGTCTCCCAACCTTCTGCTCATTTTCTTCTCAGCCCTGAGCTCTGTGGCTCCAGCATCCCCACCAGAGCTCTGAGTGCCACATCCAGGCATTCCTTGGATGCCTCCAGGGATGGAGATTTCCATTTCTGTGAAGAAATTCTTCCTGATGTCCAACCTGGACCTTCCCTGGTATAACTTGAGGCCGTTTCCTCTCATCCTGTCTTTTGTTCCCTGAGCAGAGCCTGACCCACTCCTGGCTGCACCCTCTTTTCAGGGGGTTTTGGAGAGTCAGAAGGTTCCCCTGAGCCTCCTTTTCTGCAGCTCCCAGCTCCCTCAGCTGCTCCTGGTGCTCCAGACCCTTCCCCAGCTCAGTTCCTGTCTCTGGACACTCTCCAGCCCCTCAATGTCTGTCTTTTCATGCTCTGTCCTGCAGCTTTGGGAGGGAGATGCTCCTTCTGCATTTCCTGCATCTCCAGAGGGGTTTTCTCCTGGAATTTTATCCTATTTTGGGTGAAGCTGGAGCCACAGAGTGGAATCTTCTGGGCAAAAATAACAACCCCTCTTATCTGCACATCTGTCCCCACCTCCACTTCCAGCACCCTTGGGAATCCCTCCCTTCACGTTGCTTTGCTGTTGTTGGAGCCACACGACCTCACCCAGGGCCATCAGCTCCCTGGATTCACAATTCCTGCCCCTTGGAACTGTGTCTCCCATTAGTTCACCTTTTCCTCAGACATCCCCCAGAGCAACAGCAGGGGAATCATGGAATGTCCTGAGCTGGAAAAGATCCACAAAGATCATCAAAGTCCAGCTCCTGGTCCTGCACAGGACAAGAGCTTTTCCCCAGCACTTCTGGAACTCTGTCAGGCTTGGTGCTGTGGCCACTTCCCTGAGGAGTTCCAGAGCTTGAAGATCCTCTGGATGAAGAACCTTTTCCTAAAATCCAGCTTAACTTTCCCTGATAGATCTCCAGTTGTGCCCCAGGCACCAGAGAGAAGAAATCAGTGCCTCCTCCTTCACTTCCCCTCATGAAAAGCTTTTGCAGCATTTGGGTTGAGCTGCTGAGGAAACTTTGAGAGGTTTATAGGGAAAACAGAGATTCCAGAGATTTGATGGAGATGTTTCCAGAGGATGCAGAGAAACGAGGGTAAAAAGGGGCTGGAAAAATAAACAACGACAAGACAACAGAGGTTTTTTCATTGCCAGATGTGTGCTCTGAGTGCCTCTCCTTTCTCCTAAACAACACTTTTTTGGAAGAATTTTCCACTGGAAAAATAATGGGAATGCTTTAACCCGAGTCAAAGCTCCCAAATCTGCAAAACATTCCTCAGCCAAGGGATGACGATCTGTGCTGTGCCTGCAACCCAAGCCTGGTAAACAACGGGGACAAAAGGGGCTTTGAGCTGTGCTGCCTCAGGCTGGAAGATTTCTTCCCAAATTCTGCAAAACAGGGGATTTTCAGGGGTGTGTCTCTCTCTTTTATTAATCAACTCCTGCTTTCCTTCACCCCTTCCTAACATGTGAAGGGTCCTTTTCCTCTTATTTACAGCAAGATCTCTTCCCAACCCTCTCTGGGAATTTTTATTTCCCACCCTAAAGCAATTCAAGCCCCCTCCCTTCCCTTCAACCCAAAGCTCTTAATTTACTCATCACACAATATTTCCTCATCAATACAACAAACAACAACAAAAGGTTTTTGTATTTTTTCTCCTGTGTGCCAGAATTTTTCCACTCTCTGAAAGCACTGAGGAATCCCAATTGGACAGACTCTAATAATTAATATTTAATTGGGTTGGATTTATTCTTCCTGCAGTCGTGGAGACAGAGGCTCCCCCAGCCTGTAGGAAAACACAGTTGGGAATTTTTTTTGCTGCTTTAAAGCAAAACTGTCTGGGTTTTTTTGCTTGATTTGCTGTGCCTTTGCTGCAGAAAAAACTTCCTTGTATCCATGGATAATAGAAAGGGAAAATAAATCATCCTGGGCATTGTTGAAGAGCAAAGAGTTATTTTTTAATAACATAAAAAATAAAGAGAGGAGGTTTAGATGGGATATTGGAAAGAAAATCTTTATTGGGAAGGGAGTGAGGCACTGGAATGGATTTCCCAGGGAAGCTGTGGCTCCCCCTGGATCCCTGGAAGTGTCCAAGGCCAGGTTGGACAGAGCTTGGAGCAGCCTGGGATAGTGGGAGGTGTCCCTGCCCATGGCAGGGGGTGGCATTGGATGATCTTGAAGGTCCCTTCCAACCCAAACCATTCCATGATCCTGAAATTCCCACTGCAGCTCAGGGATATGGAAATCCCTCCTCCCTTAATGCCAATCAACCCTGGTGGCAATTACTCCTCTCCAAGACATCTGAGATGTGCAGGAAGGGGAGGAGGGTGTGATTCCCAACCACTAATTTTGACCAGGAATTAGGGCCAGCTGGGACCATGGAGAGATGGGAGTCATTAACACAAGGATGAGGCTGCCCAGAAAATGACCCTGAGCTGTGTCCTGCAAGGCAACACCCACCCCTTGGATTGGGAAGGTGTTTGGAGGATCCTAAACAAAAAAAAGGGTTGTAAAAAACTTTTTCTCCTCATTCCAGACCGCTCTGAGCCTCTCTGACCCCATCCAAAGATTGGACAGAGGTGAAGATGCTCCAGAGGCTGACCCCAGTGTTATTGCAGGAATTTGGGGAGGGAATACCCAAGCTGATGAACGTGGGGACAGAGGGGAGGGGGAGATTTTGTCCTCCAAGGCATGGAAAAAGCTCCCTGGAGGAAGAATTCCCTGAGCATGGCACTGAGAGAGGCAGCACAAAACAAACACAGAGCCCTTTCAGCGGCTGGAGCTGGCAGGATCACGTGGAATTGAGATGGAGCAACAACTGCAAATGGAATAATAAATGCCTGGCTGTGGATAATGATCAGTTTAAATACCTCAGGGACGTGCTGGATGGAGTTTGTGACGTGGTTCCTTCAGGTCCAGGACAGTCGTCACCCTTCATCTCTGCCATCAGAGCCACCAAGAGCCAAATCCCGTGGAGAAAATTTATCCCTGTGCCAATCCATGCGTGGGGACGAGGCTGAGGAGTGCTGGGAGGGAAAGGGGAGTGGGATGGAGCCATCAAACCTTGACAAAGAGGGAGAGGAATTCCCAAGGCAGGGATCCATGGAAGAGGGGACATCAGATGGGGACACTGTCCCCCTGCCACCCCCACCATGAGATGAGTGGCAGGAAAACCCCAAACCTCCTCCCTAACCCCGGAGCTGCTTCCCAACTCTTTGTAGGGTTCAGGGAAGGGGGTGAGGTCCTCGTTTGGTTTGGGGGACATCTCTGGGGTTCCGGAGTGACCGGCTGGATCACAGAAACCTGGGAATATGGAGAGGGGAGAAGTGTCCCGGCTGCTCCCAGGGATGGACAAACGCATCTCTGAGCTCGTGACACTTTCCTGCTGGGAGTTTGGGTGGAAAAGGTGCAGGAAATCCAGCTCTGGGGGAAATTCCAGCTTTTTGGGGAGCTGGAATTACCCCCAAACCAAAAGCTGGTAGCTGAAATGTCTGGAGCTGTTTGGGGTCAAGATGAAATGAAACAAACAGAACAGAAACAAAAACAACCCCCAAAAAACAAAACAAAACAAAAATAAAAAAAAAAAAAACAAAAAAAAACAAAAAAAACCCAAAAAACAACAAAAAGAGTGTCCTTAAAATTTTTAATTCTCCTATATTTCTTTTTTCTTTTTTTTTTAAACCTCTGGTGTCAGGAAACACATTGGATTTCCAGCACTCCAAACTGAAATAACTTTTAGGGATTCATGTCCTGGCCTTATCTAAATGCTGAATGCCTCAGTCTGTGTCTGCCCCACAAACTGCAGATTTTGGGATGAGTCCCCCCTGCCAGGACAGCACCTGAATGGCTCCATGGAGAGCCCCAAATCATTCCAGAGGCCCTGGGCAAGTGTATCCAAAGGATCAACCCTTTCCATGCCTTAATGAGTGGTTTTGAATCCCAGATTGACTGAGGAAAATAAAACCAATTAAAAAAAAAAAAAAAAGGTGGCAAAACTATAATAAGCCCACCCGCCTAAGAGGTGGAATTTGATGAAAGTTGGCACTTTTCCATAAAATTTCCATGTCTGGGGCACTAATGAATATTCTGAATTGCAGGAGGGGGAGACATAATAATAATAGTAATAATAATAATAATAATAATAATAATAATAATAATAATAATAATAATAATAATAATAATAATAGTAATAGTAATAATAATTTTAAAAACCCACTTTTTTAGGAAATTCTGGCTGCTTTCCAGCAAGAAGAGCCAGACAAAGCCCACGAGAGGGAGCTGCTGCCTCTGTCCCAGGCCACCAGCTCATGGAGAGCCGCCGATCCCGGAGCAATTTCCAGGGAAAAAAAAAACAACAAAAAACAACAAAAACGAGCAGCCGTGTGAGGGATGAGCTGGCTGGGTTGGAAACAGCCCAGGGAAGGATCCATGCAGGCTGGGGGTGAATCCTGATGATTCCAACCGAGCAGACAGCAGGTCCTGGCCATTCTCCAGTGTCTGCTCGCTCCCACGCCGTCGGCAATCCGGGATGTGCCTTGCTTTGGACTCCGGGATAATTGTGGAATATCCAATACCCTGTGCTACAACAGGGGGCATTTCCATCCGAATCCCAAAGCCCTGCAAGGTTTTAAGGGGGTGCGACCCTCTGTCCCACTCTTGGGAATCCCCAAAATTGTTGGGGGGGGGGAGGTCTGGAAGCACGAAGGGAACTTTTATTTTCCTCATGGCACCCATGAAGTTTTGGGGAGTAAAGAGGGGGTCAGATCGGATGGGGCTGTGCCTTTTTTGTCCCATTCTGGGTGAGT